TTTAGAGGTGGATTTTAACAAATCTGGCACTCGTTACACGGAAAAAAATATATATACTTGCCCGACAGCTGCTGCATCCTTGCATTGTGCAGGTACCGATTTATATAAATTGGTCGGTTCTTTAGTCATGCGATAAATCAACATGCTCAGTAATCTGAAACGCGGGGCAGTGCGTATGTCAGTGGTCCAATCAGATACTTGTATGGCGGGAGATGACGCAAGATTGACAACACGTTGCAAACGGATGCAGGCGTAACAAGCATTGAACGGGGACATACATGTTCTAAACAGCAACGGATTTGGGAGCAGTGTGGCGCCGCCGGTGGGAGGATGACTGCATTCTTTTGTTTTTGCGTTGACTGTCGGCAAATATACGAAACGGTACTACCGGTAGTGTAAAATTATCTGCATGGTGCTACTAACACACAGGGTCTGTTACGTGATCAGGCTCGCCGCATTCGACGTATAACGTTTTCGTAGATGATTGTTAGATTGACGGATGGCATTCTTGTGATTTGCATGTTAGTTCGAAGTGCACAATTCAAATACCTCAGGACCATATCGCCTAAGGTATTCATATTGGGCGTTTGCAACTTACGGCATAGCGCCAGATCGACATAATATTCGGCAAATGGAATGTCCATAACTGACTCCTGGTTAGACGCTGCATTCATTCACTAAAGCCTGGTAAGATCCGGTCAGATAAGGTTATAGAATTTGTCGAAATCTGCCAATTTTAAATGTTTCGGGCATTCTGAGATAACCTTGTCCACTGACAACCAACCTCACTGAAAACGTTATTTTCCGTAACCGTTGGGAGCGCGTCCAATTCAGGTACGGCTATCACTTTTCTAAAATTCAATGACACATTGCCTATAGCAAAGGAAAACAATTGTCAGGATTCTTGAACCAACATACATTATCCGTTCTTCAAACAAATACACTTTACAAGCGTGCATATTATAATTTATACTTCATTATTGAGCAAATGTGTCAAGACCAGCAGATATTAAAAGTTCCTCAGTCGTACCGTGCAGAATGACTGATTTAACTATGTTCATCATGTATTGTTTATTATGTTCATGGCCATGATATTCTTGTGCTAATGTAGTTCAATGTTTGCATACCCTACTTTGAACCCTGCAGCTTGAATATCTTGCTAATTTGTCCCGTCCAAGAACGTAATAAGAATCATATTATTTATTAAGTAATGTGAATACATGGTTGCCTGGCTGGCTTTGGTGTCACGTGTCATGTTTATCCAAGTACGTCATTACTTCGTCTAAATGTTCACCCTCGTTCACATCTAATTGTTTGGTTATTACTGAAGTAACCAGTATAACCAGTATCACTAGCTAACAATGGTATTATTTCTAATTAAGTATTATAGTCCGGTTGAAAATATAATGCGTGACCGTATTATCCAAGATTTTGTCTGATGTTTTTGTGTTAACAGTCCCCTTACCTTATATTACTAGTACTACATCTACCCGTCGGTTATTGTATGCATCCACCCGGGCAATAAAATGGAATCGTCCAAAATAGTGTATAAGTGACACCTGTGGGATCGGACCATGTGACAACACACATCGATAGGGCTACATTCTCGGAGATAATGTTAGCAGAACAGAAAGCTATTGTAGATGCTGGAATCCTGGTATTCGAGGATTCGTACAATTCTGATGATTGCAAAAAATTGCAACAATTGTTCACCCAGGACTGCAGACTACTGGCCCCGGGAAGCAACGAGCTGACTGGACATGAAGGTAAATCAATTTGCACACTTCGGGTTCAATACATTAAACAACGCATAGATATATTTGAAGTGTGGGATACGTCAATTATCTCTTTCTGCATCTTTGCCAGCCATGCCTCGTATATTCTGCCGCTGCCTCAACATTAACGACGACCTTGGATGACCGTGCAAATCGGACGATGTACTTTTTGCTTCGCGTCATATATTAAGAAAAGAATATTTTCAACTTCGAAAACTTAAAATATCGTTTAATTTTTTTTTCAAAAAAATTAAATTCAGCATGAGCGTAATTAAAAATCACTCTCGTCGCGATTCATTTCCCCAGGCTGTGCTTTTTATAAATGCTTTTAAAATCAGAAATGAAAATTTCTTATAAACTTCTTACTAAGTACTTTCATTTCCTATTACTTTTTCCTTATTATTAACTAACTATACAAAATTACTTTTTATTGATGTAGACTGACAGAAAGATTATATTTCTAAGGATGCAATGATGATGATTATTATTATTATTACATTTTTTAAATAAAATGACTGGGTTTTCCCAACACTAGCCAAAACCGAATACAGCACTGAATAAGCAATTATGTTTATTGGCTTGATCTGACACATAACATGTTTTGGAATGTGTATGTGATATATTATAATTATTATGCGCCATCAAGCTATGCACATATGCATTAATGTATGCGTCGTTTGATTAGCTGGTGAGCTCGATAATCTCAACCATAAATATTATTTCTGTGGCACAATCGTGTCGAGGTGTGATGAAAACAATACACGCGAACGCTTTATCAACAAACCTGCTA